ACATGATATAAATGAAATGCTTTCACTGTATAATAATATTATCAAAATATTTTACCACTTTTTTGGTTATAAATGTGCCTCCCATAATAGGATAGTTTATTGTTTATATTGTACATACAGTAAAATATGTATAAAACTTGTATCGGTAACTTTGTGCACTCAATATCAGATGAAATTTAGAGAACTGGTCCAAAAATTGCTATTCTAGCCTATTTGTACATGTCTCTTTGGTTAAATGCCTGCTAAAAAGGCACCTGTGAAAAATGTTAACACAGAAGCTTACTGATTTAAAATGTGATTACAAAATTAATTCAGGATGAAAATGTACACTGTAGGTACAGCAAAAACAAGCTTGTTATGGACTGCTGGAATTGGCTGCCATATAAAATCCAACGACCTGAAACAAATTAAAAAATATAAGTTTGGTTACTTTGCCTGAATAAATACAATTTATTGAATGTAAACCACAAATTTTCACATCAATTTTCTGTATTTCTTAATGAAAGGTATTGTGCCTCCATTATCTCATCACACTTTAATTGGCTTTATGTTCTTTCCAGTTTTCTTTTTGAAAACTAGAAAACTGGAGAGAGGACATTGAAAGTAAGGCCTCACTCACTGACTATTCATTACTTAAAGATACAATTAAATTAGAAAATTATCTATTAGATAAATTGGATTTCGAAAGTGTATCATTGAAATTTAAAACTTCGCTCCAATACATTGCCCCTTGATAGTAGAATTTCTAGATGGTCTGAAGACAAGAATGGCTTATGTACTCTTTGCAATACAAATAATGAAGAAGAAAGACACTTCTTATTCTCTTGTCCCGCTCTCTTAAACATACGTTTAGAGGAGTTAAATAAACTTGAATATAAATTAAGTAGTCATAACATCGATGTTTGGGATCAATTTTTAAGTGCTAATATTGATATTAAATTAAGCTACGTCCTAGGCTCCACTGCTCTTTCCATGACAAATGAAGTAGAGAAATACTTTGATTAATTTTGTAAAAGTTATGGAAAACGAGCGTGGAGAAAAAGATCTGAATTGAAGCACTTGCAAACTTTATCGTAGATTAAGTATCTGTATTACTGTCTTTTCCTTTTTTTTGTAACTAATTAATTTTGTTTGCCTTAACATTATTTTTGAGTTTGTTGGTGGTACAGGTGGCCCTTTGAAATTTGTGACAGGCAAGGCAGGATGTATTTCCTTGTCATGTTTTTCGGGGAGCTACTTGCCTCATCAGCAGCACTACTCACTTGTGTTTATTTCATTTTTACTTAAGATTCCCTTGCTTTATGTTTCGTAATTTTTTTTTTTTTTTTTTTTGTACTTGTAGCTAAGAATTTTAATTCACTTTGAACGCACCAAATTATTTTGAGTGCCACCGATCTAAAGGATCTAGATCTAGAGGGGCTAACCAAGCCCTATCTGGAAGAATACATATTAGTAGACTATAATCATTAAATTTAGCCTTTGAATCCCCTAAATTGTCAAAGTTTTTGGGGAGTTGGCTCTCTAGACAAATACCAAGAGATCTTATGCGATGCATGTTGCCAAAACTTGAGAATAGATGGCTTTATTTTGTGTAAACACCAAGAATAATCAATGAAAGTCTGAATCTGAAGAAGGCTTATTTCCATTGGGGGTCCTTCTGGTGGTGATTGGGCAATACACCGGTAGACAATCCCCTACTCTCTTCCGAATGCATTCTTTAACATGCACAAGGGCCATAATACACACAGGACCAACGGTTTAAACATCTCATCTAGAAGACAGTGTGCTATGGTAACATGTATTTTAGCCCTCTAACTGAAGTACATGAGGAGCAGCGATGGGAATTGAACGGGTGACCAAGAGATCTATAGTTTAGCGCACACGCAGTTTACCACCAGTACAGCCGACTAAGCTAAGTTGCTCTCTGTCTTGTGAGCTTGAATAATTTTCTTCAAAATTGATCTGAGGTCCTCCATTGTTTTAATAGGTTCTGTGGTATTTGTTTTTCAGGCCTCCAATGGGACCCACATCAACCAAGGTAAGCTATGAGTACCGGCAGCAATAAGATGTACATGTGGTCTCCAGCAGGTTGTGTGTCAGTTGAAGTGCCAACAGAAGGTTAGTTTTTGTTACTATACATCATAAATAAATATCCATTAGGTAATAACATTTCATGGTTAATTCCAATGGTTCATACAGACACTGTTGTGGACAGATGAGAGATACTGTAGCTGGTACCGGTAGCTAAGACACAAAGTGGCCCTTAGGGGAGAAGAAAGTTACTGTGCAAGCTAGTTCACACTTTGAGCACTTTGAGACTTGGTTTTTCAACTACTTTCATGTGCATGCATATATATATATGCAGATGCGCAGAAAACAAATGAATTGAATAAATTTTTTATTATGCACAATTTAGTCTCTCAGGATGATTTAAGTGAGTTTACAAAACTTGCCTGGTTGTTTTTGCTTGGCAAGATTTTCTTGGTTAATTTCAACACGTCACTTGAGTTGTTTTACTAAGGAAAATCTCATTCAGGCTGTTTGCACTAAATATTTTTTGATTAAAAAAAAATATGGTACATGGTTAAAATAACGTCCAGAAATGTATATATCCAGTTTATCAATTTTCTTAGGCAAAAACTGTTGTATGCCCATATATAGTCATGATGTGCCTATATATGGTCATGATGTGATGTCATCATGACCATATTTAGGCACATCGCATGTTTTATTTTTTCAAAGAAAATTTGAGATTCTGGAGAGGGCTTTATTTGCATGAGTGTTACTTTTATCAGGGTAACATAGAAAGAATTTTAAATGTTCTGACTTTTTTTTTTAGCATTTGATTTGTTTTTTTTTTATTAGATTTGAATTTAACAATCAGAGTAAAATACAAAACTGACAAAAAAAAGAACAATGTCTGAACAAAATATAATAATTTAAAAATCTGAAAGCAAGGAAAAGCTAAGAAATGCTTTAAAGAAACATACTTCCATTGTGATTGTGCTAACTTAAACAATTTATAGCTCCACTATCTAGTTAATCTGCTAAGAAGGGCTAATTA